TACTTTTACTATTTATCTAAATGGGCCTTAACTACTGGGAAACCAGTAATTGTGTTTATCCTATAAAGTTATCAGTTTATTTATCTATTTTATTTATTTATTTATTTATTTACTTATTTTTTAATCACGGTCCAACTATCACCAAGCGTGAACTGACTATTAAGCGGTTTTCAATTGAGTGTCGAAAGTTATCAAGCGATTACTCTGGTTTTGGTTTTGGTTTTGGTTTTGGTTTTACTGGGGTTTGAGATTGGCCGAGTAGTCTAATTGCTAAGTGGCTGTTTTGGTCCTCAATTGAAAATTGCTCTAGTCATAAACAGGCGAAACGCCTCAGACTCTGGAACTCCCAGTGTTGCGTGTTAATAGTTTCGTCAAACATTTTCAGGGAATTTTTAAATTTACCCTCTAACCGGTTTCACAAGATAGTTTGCGATGAAAAGAGTCTCGTTAAAATGTTCACTAAAAAGGGGTAACATCACGACTCTGTTTATGTTACAATTTCCCTTTCCGGAAATTCAGAATGCATGCGTGACCTATCACGTGAATATACGCCGTTCGAAAGCGAAACCAGACGCAGGTTCCGGGAATATTTATACTTCCACCGAATGACTTAAACGCTGAAAGGATATAAACATCGACACCATTTTGTCCAAAATGGAAGACCGAAGGCTTGATGAACTGGATGAAACTCAGAATGAAACAGAACCACTTCTTCGGCCCGAGTCATCACCAACTTACTTACACTTCCGACCTGGCAGAGAACCACAGCAGGCTAATAGATTCACTTCATTCGTCCTGTCTGTTTTTAAAGTTACCTTCTGCTCGCTTGGATTGTGGGGACATCAAACATGGAACTACATTCCTCGCGTTCTATTTAGTGCAATTTGTATTTTTCCGGTCGTTTATTCGATCTTCAGTTTTATCAGAATTCCCCGTCAAGATCTAGCTGATCTTACTGGAAGAACATGTTTTACATTACTTCCTCTTGCCGCTCTCGTCTCTTACGTTGTTTTCATTGGCTGTTTTATCGCAGCTAGGCGTAAAGACTCGGCCTTGGTATCTCCATCTGAAACGATGATGCTGGATATTCAAAGAACGGACATCTTCTTGTTATTTTGCGCTTTCGTTTTCGTTATTATTTCTTTTTTAAGCTCCTTGGTCCTTTCTTTCAAAATGGAACCCATTCATGTACCACTTCGTTCTGACGTTCGTTTAAAAGAGGAAATTGAAAAAACGGCCATTGCAGTACAGTACTTGGCTCACTGGGCATCAGTCAACACTTGTCACGTCTTCGCTGTCAGTTCCTTTACACTCGGTAAGTTACTTTATTTATCATCACAAAGTTAGGCCATTTTATTCTTTCCCTGGCCTTCGCTCTTGAATGAAGCTTCGAGCAAATAATTACTCGTCATTGCTTTCCGATATCGGTAGAGAGGAAGGCCATTCTCTGATTCTCGTGTCAAGGCCGGGCGTATGGAAAATAGGAATCCGGAATCCGGAATCCGGAATCTGGAACCGGAACCGGAACCGAAACTCGAACTGGAACCACAAATTGGAGATATTTTGAGGGTGTTACTGACAATTGCTCTTGTAAGGCTTTTCATTTCCATATGTTTTATTCATTTTCTTCATGTCCCTTTTTTTGTCCGGGGCAAGCTTTTTCTTTGAGAATTTCCAATACACATGAATGACACAACTTTGGATCAAATAACCGACATCAGAACTCTGCCTCCCTTTGCTCTCTTCTCAAAATGGAAATGCATGAAACACTGAGTTATGATTTAAAAGAACATAGAATTTTTCATTCTTTTCATTTATATTCCGGTTCCGTTTCCGTTTCCGTTTCCGTTTTCATTTCCGCTTCTGGATTTGGTGTTTTCCGTACGCCCTCAAGGCCGTACAGAGCTAGAGGGGCAAGAGTGGAGAAAGGCGGGAGGCGGATCATGTTATATCGTTCCCAGATCCCACTCTTCGCATAGCGCAAAAAACTGGCTGTGGAACAATTGGGTCCGTGTATGGTATACTTAATTCACTTACATTGAAAACATATTGTTATCAAAAATATTTTTGCAACTTTCCCAGCTTCTTTCGTCATGTGGTGTAGCAAGATTGTAAAGGTTTCCAAAATCTGCAAAATTGGGTTTGAACTAAGACAGCCTCAGTATTACAACAAAATATAAATAATT